TAAAAGTATCTATAAACATTATTTATGGAGTTTATTTGAGAGCCAGTAGACAAATGACAATTCACAAACATTCTCAACAATCTCGGTAACAAATTTTAATCATCTCAACAATCTCGGTAACAAATTTTAATCATCTCAACAATCTCGGTAACAAATTTTAATCAACTAATACACAGCTAATTCACATTCTAATACTAATACAACCAACTCTTTCATATACGTTTATAAATATACGTTGATTTCGTAATTCAATTGAGATACCTCGATCTCGCGAGCATGGCTTTGAGGCATTTGATAACTCAGGTACGTTCGTTCTTATTCCTCAACCAAACACATCCATCGTAAATGCTTCCCTCGTTTTTGTGGACGACGAAGATGAATATGTATTTATGAAATCTCAAGAAATCAATTTACATGAATTTAATACCTGGATCATTGATAGTGGTTACATCAGTAACATGATTAAATGTTTATCATTTTTTTTACCTTCATTAACAAATCAAGAAAAAATTCTATATCAAGATGGATAATGGTGAAATTGTGCAAGGCAAAGGAAAAGAAACAATTTCTATATCAACCAAAAAAAGTATTCTACTCGTAAAAGATGTTCTTTACATTTTAGAATTAGGTCAAAATCTTCTTAATATTAAACAAATCCTAAGGAATAGATATGAAATTTCTTTCAAAGAGAATTATTATTTTATTATGGATGAATATGAATTACATATCGAAAAGATTGAGATGATTAAAAATAATTTTTATTTGAAATTTAATTTAATTGAACATCATGATTTTATTATTAAAATTGATGAGAGGAATGTTTGACATGAAATATTTGATCAAACCTTTATACAAGATATATTTGATATAATAAATCCTAACAAATAATATTTAAAGATAAAAGAAAGAGATAGATTGAATGAATATGAAGATAATGATTTTGGTCAAGAAATTGATACGGACATAATAATCGAAACACTTTTGAAATCATCGAAGTTTAGTAATTAAAGTTTGAGATGTTTATAACAAAAGGAGAGATATTAGATTTATGAGATTTTCCATTACATGAATTTTGAATAAATTTTAGAAAAGGTATTTATTATTATTATTTATATTTTGTTTTTAGTTAGTGAATTTAATCTCAACGAATAGGGTACCCTTTTCTCCATCATCTGTTTTGCAGATTTTTTTTGCTTGAATGGAAAATGGGTCTAATGGATTTCTTCTGATTTTGCTCCAGGATAAGAAAATTTCAAACCTTTCTGGTATAGAGGGGAAAGGTCTTTTTTTTCCAAGTCATTTTAGACCTTATAGGAAATGATTGTCTTTGTGCTTTGAGAGTTTTTAGGAGCAGTGAAGAATGCATCCATATTGATTTCAGCTTGTTGGGATATATGGTCCTTTGGTTGTGGACTTATGAATGAAGATCCTGTGGGGTTTCAAGTATCACCTTTTTAACAGCTGGTTTTTAACTTATAATTGTTCATCTTATATTGTTTTATTAGTGGTGAGGTGTTTGGGTAGTTTGCATGAGGTTCAAATGTCGCTGCCGCTTATGTATACCGAAAAAACTTAAAGAAACAGTGTAAGACACAGGCAAAGGATGAGAACTTGACATTGTGTTCATTAAGCAAGTCGTATATGTATTATTGATTCATGTGGCTTATCTTTGCACGTTCCTAGTTGCCATATATAATCTATATTTTGGATTTCTTTAATGTTTCAGTCACTTTTGTGATTTATTTTTACAGGTTGCAAGACGTCAATCCAAATTTGGACAGATCAAAAGTGTGTTTGTTAGGAGCAATTTTTCTGTCAATAAGTTTGGAGATCGTGCAGGTATAAATCCCCCTTCCCCGGACCATGCATTATTTTTGTTGTTTACTTCATGCTATTTGCTTATACAAGTAACGGATTTTGCTTTTCTTCATTTAGCTTTAACTTTCCCTAATTATGTCGGTATAGAATTTGTTGTGTTATGAAATTCTTTCATCATTTTTTTTTTCTCTTGGGAGGTGGGGGTGGGTCGGTGTATATGTGAAGTTATTCATGCTTTTTCCTTTCAATATATGTTCAAATTCAAAGTTACTGAATATTATGTCCCATTTGTCACTTGGCTTTTGTTTTTTTCACCCACTTTCAAAATCCTGTAGGGAATAGGTTTTTGTGTGCCCAGAAGAGATTTCAGTCTAGCTATCTTGGCAGTATAGCTCGTCGAGCACGTGATGCAGATGAAGCAGCTGAAGTTTCATATAAAGAATTTTACCATCAGAATGATCCCGAGGCTGTGATTAGAGTATTTGAAAGCCATCCATCTCTCCATAATAGTGCCTCAGCTCTTTCTGAATACGTAAAAGCATTAGTGAAAGTTGATAGGCTTGATGAAAGTGAATTACTGAAGACATTAAGGAGAGGTGGTTATTTGGCTCGAACTGCTAATTTCCGTAATTGTCAATGCTTATGATTTGGTCTTTTTGACCTATATTTCTTGACAATATTGGTTTACTGATTAGTTAATCTTATTCATTGTTCAATGATATAAGGTTTTTGCCAAGCAAGCAAGCATATTTGGTTCTCTTGCTTCTGCTTTCTTTCTGGGGTATTATGTTTCATAAGGGTGTGTTGATGGCCAAATTGTATCTGCCAGAATTCAATGACCAAGTAGTTTTTTTCTTTTTTTTCCCTAAATTCATATTTCATATAACCAAAGTGTTATTAATATTTTGATTAGAAAGCTGGGTTACTTACTATTCTGTGTAAAGGAAGTACTTGTTCCTGCTTGTACACTAAGAAAAGAGTCCTGAGGCATGACTCCATTAACATTTCGTTGAGAACTTATCATTTGCGGACTGCTACAATTTGATGTTAATGACTCTTCTAGATGCCTTCTGTGTAGTCTTCCCTCCCCCCTCACAGACACATGCTCTTTTAAAGGTGTACTTTGATATCATCTTTCATTTATCTGGAATTCTTTGATGACTTTAACTGCCAGGGAAATCAGTAGGTTATCAATATATTATTGAAATAATGGAACTGGTTAAATAATCTGTAATTATCTGTTTCTCTCAAGCCAGTAAATAAGTCTTTTTGTAAAATTACAGTAAATTGTCTTGTAATTCTGTTTCCCTTCTGCCAATAATCCATTTGTCTGGTTGCACTGTTAGTCAATAATCTTTTTCAGGGATTATGAAGTTCAACTCTGATTTTTAGTAATATGACATCTAGACATAATTTTTTTTTAAAAAAATATTTATTAATAAAATAAATATCAATCACTTATTAAAAGAGATATAAATGAAGATCTTTTATATTCTATTTTTTAATGTTGATCACAATATGTCATATCAATAAATATCACATCATTTAAGTGATAATCAGTCATTGAACAATATCAAAATTTAAAGATCAACAAGTGATGGAGGAAGCCCATGGGCCAAGGGCCCAACTACTAGGGCTATGGTCAAGATGATTCAAGAAGAGTGGGCCCATGCTCAAGAAAAGCCCATCATACTTTTCAGTTGGGCTTTGACTCAAGCCCAAGTAGATTAGAAGTAGTGTAGGTTTGGGCCTTTGGGCTTGTATTGCATTTTGGGCCTTGTATTTCGGCCACTTAGACTAGGATTTTCATTTCATGGTCATGTGAATTTAGGGTTAATTTAGGTTTGCATGTGCATCTTCATTTGCATGTAATTAGTATAGCATTTGGTATGCATTTCGGCCATGTGCACACATGTACATGGTGTGACCGAAATGCAACTCAAATGGATACCAAATTACATCCAAATGAGTGCACATGGGGGAGGTGACCGGTTGGCACCAAAATTTGAATATTTGAATTCAAATTTTGGCGCCTAAGGTTAAGTAAACCATACCATGGTTTCACTTAACCTTAGGTTAA